CTCCCTGAAAATCCCCCAAATGAAAGCTTTGCTTGGAAAGCCTCACTAGGTGCCCTTCTAGGTGCATCGGGTGAAATTTTTATTATGCTCAGGAGGCATGGCCTGGGGAGTTCGTGCTGGCTCTGAACCGACTCATGCGTGTTTTCTCCTTGCACGGAGATTCCAGGGATTCGAATCCAAGACCTCTTCCACACAGAGGAAGAGCTCTGGGGAGGGGGGGTCTTCTTCCCGAAAAGAACAAACCCTAAAGTTTGTCCTTGAACCCGCACAAAAGTCCCCTTTCCGAGCCAGACAGAAAAACCACACACACACCACGGAGGAGGCGACTGGAGGTTTATTTGGTCTCGCTCCACAGGTTTCAGTCTGTCCCTCGATGGGGCCGGGCTAGACACAGTAGGGCTCCCTGGCGCTTGTGGGGCAGGAGGGGGCATGCCAGGGAGCTGGGCACGTTTGCAAACTTCTCAAATAAGGGTGGCATAATTGTTGTTGTTTATTTGTTAAGTCGTGTCCGACTCTTCGTGGCCCCATGGACCAGAGAGCACGCCAGGCCCTCCTGTCTTCTACTGCCTCCTGGAGTTGGGTCTCATTCATGTTGGTCGCTTCGATGACTCTGTCCAACCATCTCATCCTCCATCGTCCCCTTCTCCTCCTGCCATCACACTTTCCCAACATCAGGGTCTTTCAGGAGGTGTCACTTTCCCTTATCAAGTTAGAAAACAATAGAATTATAGAATAGCGAAGTTGGAACAGAAAGCCGTTATTGTTGCAGCAACTTCCTAGTAACGAATTCAGGATCCAGGGGCTGAAAAAACACACAGCAGAAAAAATTAGCTTGGCTGAAAAGATTTGACATCAAAATGCAATGTAAAAATGATAAAGAAGAGTTAAATAGAAACTCTATGCAACGGAGATAGATAAAAAGCAAAGGAGCAGGAAGAAGGAAATGTTGCTGCAACCCAGCCAGAATCAGAACCTACAACCGCCAACGGTCCCTTCGGGGTTTAATTTAGAGAAGTTTTGCAAGGTGTCACAATTCAAGGGCCCGTTTTTCTTTTGGAGGGAAGCTGTTTGTACAAATAAAAAGCTGCCTGCGTCTCCCTTTTGACCTCATGTCCAGCTCGCTCTGCACGAAGTCAGCATGGCGATCTCTCCTCTCTGTCTTCTCATTCTTGCTGGCTTGCTAGGATCCTTGGCTAATAAAGGTAAGTAATGCGATGAGACTGAACAGTGTACCTGCGTCAAACCCTTCCAGCAGTTTGAGTCCACTTTAGCTGCTGGGGCTCCACCCGAAGGGACGTAGTTTGGGGAGAGACTGAGCGTTTTCCACTTGAGAGCTCTCTGGCCTTTTCCCCAAAGCCTAGATGGGCCTTCTAAGGGTCTCGGCACTGAAAAAAATCCTGGGCGTCTGTCGGATCGACCCCACCAGCTGGTGGTTAGAAAACAAGGGCTCATCACAGACATCGCTATAGATGTACTGATGAATAGATATATTAAGTTGCCTTTTTTTACTTACAGGGCAGTAACGAGGGTGGAGGAACTGAGCCTTGGCCCCCAGGGCAGCAGAATTTAGAGAGTGTCAAAACCCAGAGGGGCATCTAAATGTGAATGTTAAAAAATAAATAAATAGCACTCCCTCCGGGCTCTGTCCACTTCCCTTTAAAAAGAAAGCATAAACATTGTTTTTTCTTTTGTGGGGGGCCCTACTTTCTCTTCCGTGTTCCTGGAGGGGGGGTCCTGCCCATGCTGCAGGATGATGGAGTGGATGAGGGTCGGTGCAACTCTCCCTGGGTGTCAGAGCGGGTGGTTCTCGCTCTGTCTGCAGCCGAGGTGAGCAGAGGTCACAGGGAAGGCCCCCTTCCGTGTCCCCACCAAGGGCGCCTGTGACGTGGGTGGGATGGAGAGAAAGGCCCCTCCTGATGACCTCAAGGCCCGAGCAGGACCCGAAAGGGAGAGGCGGTCCTTGAGAGAGCTTTGGACCCAAAGCCGTTTAGGGCTTGATAGGTTAGAAACAGCATAAGTTTCCAACCTATCAAGAAACTAAATAATTTAGAAACTTTGGATTGTGCCTGGAAACAGATGGCCAGCCACTGGGGCGTCTGCACCGTTTGGGCATTTTGTGCACCATCCAGATGATAGAAACCTAGGCAGTGGCTTTTCCCAGCCCTTTCCATGTTTTCCACTTGTTGCTAACAGTTTGTTTCGTTCTGAGAACCAAGTTTAGCGCTATATCACTTTTTCTAGGAAGCTCAGGGGTTCTGGAGCTGTTTAGCTCTCCAGTTAGGCTCGGTTCCTGCCTCGCTCTTTCTGCTCTTTCCAGAGGCCTCTGACGGGCCGTCATTTGGGGAAATGGGATGCTGGAAGATCGAGGTCGTTAGTATGATCGAGTATGATTCCTTGGATGTTCTTCGGTTTGTTTCTTCATTTGAATTATTTTTACCCTGCCTTTCTGCTTAAAAGGACTCAAGGCAGTTTGCAGTAGTTAAAAGCTAAAAAAAGTGTGTATACAAATAGTTTAAAAGAATGAAACAAGCATTATGTTAAAATGTTGAATAAAATCAATACTAAAAATGCATTTGAAAAAACCAAAGAACTCAACAATCCATTCTGAGTTAGAGTAGATGGATCTACCATAGGAACAGCTTGTTGAATAGCATGTGGATGCCCTGAGCAATAGGGCATTAGATGGGCCATTGACGTGGACCAACAATATTCTTTCATATCTTCTTGCTCTCGAGAGGCAGGGAAACCTTGGTGGTTTACCCCAAAGCCCTACTCAGTCCTCTCTCTGTTCTGGAAAAAGCCCACCAGGTTCCTTTTGGGAAAGCTACAGGACGGGCTTGAGGGCAGACACAATCCTAGACTAGATCCGAGTGACAACCGCCTGGGATCCTAAGGGGAGAAAGAATATTAATATTTCTTGCTTCCCTGCAGATCTTCAAAATAAAGTGTTCATTTTCCCGACCGCATCAAATCGCGCTGCGGTGTTTTTGAAGGCCCCGCTCCAGCAGCCGCTGACCGGTTTCACCGTGTGCCTGAGATCCTACACCCTCTTGACCCGTGGATACGGCCTCTTCTCTTATGCCACCAGGAGAAGCCACAATGAACTCCTCCTCTACAAGCTCAGCCCAAACCAATACAGCCTTTATGTGGGAGCTTACAGCGTGACCTTCAATCTTCCGGAAAAGCAGGGCTCAAAATCTAATTGGGAACACATCTGTGTGAGTTGGGATTCTGCTACGGGGTTAGTGGAATTGTGGGTGGACGGCCGTCCTTTGCCACGAACGGGGCTGAAGAAAGGTTACTCCATCAATCCCGAGGCATCGATTGTCCTTGGGCAAGATCAGGACTCCTTTGGAGGTGGCTTTGCTACCAAAGAGTCATTTGTGGGAGAGATGAAGGATGTGTACATGTGGGACAGGGTGCTGACGGCGGACGAAGTGAATCTCGTCTGGAACGGCCACAACGTCAATAGCAGTTTGATTAACTGGAGATCCCTAAATTATGAGACCAGAGGTTATGTGGTTCTTAAACCTTTCTTGTTTCCAGGCTAATGATTGAGGAACTGTTCTTCTCTCTCTCTCTCTCTCTACCTTAAAGCAGTCTAAAAATTGTGCAGCATTTATTCAGTAATGGTTATCATGTCAATTTCAATGACCTTAAGACTTCGATGGACAAACTGCCAGCGTATTCTTCCAATAAAACTTTGCTTTAATTTTGTTTCATTTGCTATTGATAAGAATTTATGAGTGTCATCAAGCAGAAATTCTATGAAGAAGAATTTCCATATTAAAAATGGCTATAATTGAGATTTTTAAAAAATTGAGTCAAGAAAAATAAAGACTAGTATATTTTGCGTGCAGACTGAGTGCTTAATTCTTACATGTCTGGCTTTCTCCATCCCTCCTTCCCTTTCTTCCTTCCTTCCTCCCTCCTTTCCTTCATTCCTTGCTTGCTTAATTCATTCCTTCCTCCCACTCTCCCTTCTTCTCTCTCTCTCTCCCTCCCTCCATTTTAATCTCTCTGAGAGGATCCACATCAATATAGACGAGAGGCTTCAATTCATTTTGGAAGAATCCATCAATGTTCATAGAACTATAAGATCAACAAGACAGGCATTACAAAAAAAAAAGGTTTATCTTCAGGAAAGAGGAGGAAATGTTTGTCCAAAATGCACATGTGCTGATTTAAATAAATACATAGAAATATCATAATTAGGTATTATTGTGATAGCTTATCCGATTGCACAAGACTGACTACGTAACCCCCTTTGAACACAGCGTTGAGGGGAGGTAGAATTCAAGGGAATAAATAAGGCAGAGTGATGGGAGATTTGAACTTCAGTTATCTTGATATCTGTTGAGGGGACCCGGCCTTCATTAGGTTCAGATGGGGTGGGGATTTTTGTATTCATTTATGAATATCCCCATCTGTAATTCTAACCAATCGAGATGACTTGGTAGAGGAAGTGGCAGGAAGGGGGACTCTGGGCGAGAGCGACCACGTTCTACGAGGATTCTTGATTTCAAAGGAAACCAGAGCAGAGGGGTTTCAAAGGAAACTATAGCTACAAACATATGGTGGATTTTTTAAAAAGCCAATTTTAATGAACTCAGAACATGGATAAGTAAGGTTCAATGGCAGGAGATCCTAACAAGAAAAGATGTCCAAGAAGGGTCAGAAATTTAAAAAAAGGGGGGAGGTTCTAAAGGTACAACTACAAACCATTCTAACAAGAAAAAAAGGTGGGAGGCATCAAAAAAGTACAGTGCGGCTTCACAAGAAGCTCAGAAAGGACCGAAAAACAGAAAAAAGGGAGACATACAGGAAGTGGAATGAAGGCCAGGCCATAAAGGAAGAGTATTGAGAGGACGCCCATTGGGGTCCCTCCGGAGGAGAATCCTCCATCCCGCCCCAAACGATGCTCTTGTCTGTCTCCATCCACAACCGTTAAAGGGGTAGGAAACGGTCCTCCTGCTGAAAAATGAGATCGGACAGAATCCATTCTTAGGACATTTCTTTCCGGGGGGGGTGGTGTCTTCTCGTCCTGCTCCAAATGAGACCAGCTTTTCTTTCTTAAAAAAACTCTCTTTTAAGGAAGGCTGCTCAGACCGACCATCGCCACTTTCTCAGCGAACGGGACCTACAACATTCCCTTGCACTGCGCCGTGACGGGCAGAGGAGGCGACGTGAACTTCACTCAGTTCAACGGGGAGCGGACCGAGGCGGTCCTCTCTTTAGAGCCCACCCTGCGGATCCCCCAGAGGCCTCCGGACGGGTCCCTGGATTACACCTGCGCTGTCCGGACCAAGGAGAGCCAGAGAGCCACCACGGTTTCTCTGGCGGATCACTGCCACGGTGAACTCTCTTGCACTGTAGGTCTTTGGCACGCAACAAGAGGCCGACCCCCCCCTTTTGTGCCGCTTCTTTTTAGACCCAGGGAACGATTGCATGTTAAGAGTTCTTCAGTCCACCGGGTTTCGTCCTTCACGGCCTTAGAATGGCAAAACCCGCAGGGCAGATCCATCTTGGGGAAAGCTGGGGTAGGTCTCTCCCAGCGAGGAGAGCCAGGCAGAGCCTCCCTCACCAGGAGCAGTCTATCTGTATGTACATTGGTTGGCCATCCTTTGAGCCCACTCGATAGCCACGCTGTCTTGGTAACTATAGTCAGCCAGAGTTACTTTCCTGGGACTCCAGCTGCCGGCTTCTCTGATATCCACGCCACTGCCCCCCACTGAAGGGGTGTGTGTGTGTCCATGGTCATGTCTCCCGCCCTCCATCAGGGCCCTTCAAAGCAAGTCATTTAGTCTGAGGGGCTCCCTCGGCAGGTGGAGTCCTCTCTATTTTCGGTTTGTATGTACTTGACGCGCACCCCCAGCAACCCCTGTGTGTTTCGCCTCCCACACAAGTTCACCTTATACACGACTTCTTCTTTACCCCTTTTTTGCTGCCACCAAAGGATATTATCCTCACTTATATCAATGATGAGTCTTACACTCTTGCTGCCAAACAAACAATATTTATTGAAGGATAAATAAGTGAATCACAGAAGGAAAATCATGGATGCTCTATTATCTTTCATTCATTAAAACATGGATTTGATTACTAATAAGCTATCTTATTCACTAACTATCAAATATCTCATCTAAATACCTCTCAGTTTTCTGAAAGAGGCCACCCCAGGGGAGGAAGGAAGGATGAGCAAAGCTTTCCAGAAAAGCGGGCAGGGAAAACTTTCCAGGAAAGCTGTCAGAGACCGGGGCCATAAAGAGAGAGAGAGAGGAGGACAATTTTGAAAATACTGATGTCGTGAACTCTGGGGAAACTATTTTAATTCTTCAGGTCAGTTTTATTAATAAGTGGGGATGGGCTATTGATAGGTGGCAAAGAAAAAAAGTTAATTTTAAACAACATCTACAGGTAAGCAATTTTTTCTTTCATTAACAACTGGAATATTAAACAATGTGAAAGGCTACAGAATCCTTCCTCTGTTTCTTGCCGGCATGCTTGATGACCACAAAGTACATATCTGCCTTGCATGGAGACTGCTCGATTTTTGCACGCTGAGTGATCTTAAACTTTTCACACATTGGAATCTTTATTCTTCTTGGCCCTTTGGTCAAACCATTCGTCCTGTTTAAGGGAGAAAAAAATGATTGCCGGCATGCTTGATGACCACAAAGTACATATCTGCCTTGCATGGAGACTGCTCGATTTTTGCACGCTGAGTGATCTTAAACTTTTCACACATTGGAATCTTTATTCTTCTTGGCCCTTTGGTCAAACCATTCGTCCTGTTTAAGGGAGAAAAAAATGATTTGAACATGGTTAAGCACAAGCTGTAGGTGGCAAGAAGAACCATCCATCAGAACTTCACCAGAATGAAAATTGAAGAATTATCCTCAGTTTTATAAAAGGTGGCTAAAGCCGATGAAGTCTGGCAATGAATACAGTGGTCCCCAACCTTGGGGCCTCCAGATGTTCTTGGACTTTGACTCCCAGAAATCCTGGCCAGCAGAGGTGGTGGTGAAGGCTTCTGGGAGTTGTAGTCCAAGAACATCTGGAGGCCCAAGGTTGGGGACCAGGAAGCAGACAGCAGTGACAACAGCGGTGGGGATATTCTAGGAGGCCAATGACATTTTTGGAGCAGCGAGCTTACAAACAACAAGCGTGTTTGAGGTGCTGGGAAGCTTGGGAAGCCACTAGAAATGGAGGACGCGGATGGTCCCTTTCACTCCCTGGTAAACTGATTGAGCTGAGTTTCTGCAAGAAAGAGCCCTCTGTTTAAAGAAAGCAAAGCAGGGAGTTCCACTTCTAAAGAAGCGCTATTCTTTGGTCAGAAAGAAGTTGAAAGTGAACATGATTCTCTCCCACCACCCAGTTGCACTTGCCATTCCATCGATGGATACGAAGGGTATCGAGAGAATGGAACTAGTTAGCTAACTATGTGCTGTCAAGCTGGAAGTGATCTGCAGCTGCCCTAATAGGGCTTTCAAAGTAGGTGAGATGTTTAAGGAGCCCTTTCACCAAGTCCACACACCCCCAGGGAGGTCCCATAGCTAGGCCGCGTTTCAGACCCAGGCCTCCAGAGTCCTAAGGCGTCGTTCTATCCCCTACACCATACCGGGAGCCACCGGGAAATGACAGGCTATTTATTAATTAGCTGGAAAACGAGGTTCCAGCTTGAGATGGGCACAAACCCCATTTCAGAGGTTCGTGCTGGTTCATAGGCATTCCTCCCCCCATGATCTCCCGTTCACCGGCCGGCTCCTGTCCTTCTCCTC